TTGCACACCCCCTATGGGGGATGTGCCCGCAACCAAGGTACAGGAACTTGACTGGAATCGAACCCGGGACCTCTCAGTCTCAGACCGAGGCTCTTCCACTGAGCCAATCCAGTTTCGGCTTGAGCCCTTGTTTTTTAAAATTCCTTAGAGCTCAAAGCCAGCAACAGTTAAGAGGAAGTAGCAAGTCAGTATTAGGACTGGGCTACTGATAAGCCAGGCAACTGGTTTATAGTCTCACTTTTTAAATTTTATTATGTATATTTATTTTTATTGTTCATGTCTTCATTGTGTTCAAGTAACATACAGTTGGATACAGCACTTTAACTCTTAATCATAGGATCTTTCACTCCAAACACACACACACACACACACACACACACACACACACACAAACACACACACACACACCCTTAGCCTGCCATTCACTCAGAGAAAATTTTCTAGAATTTCCCAATCTAAATTACTGCTCACTAATCATAAAGTTTGTGGAAAATACAGAAAAACATACTATAGGATATTTTAATAACTGGCAGTTACACCAACCTGAGACCAGCATTGTTAAATTTTTAGTGTTTTCTTTCTAGCCTCTCCTTGTAAGCTCCTCCACCACCCACTATTTCTTTTTCCAGAGCCCAGGGCTAAAATCAAAGGGATAGAGTTAGGATGGATGGATGTCTTGTTCTCTCTCCTGGTCCAACATTTTATTTTATTTTATTTTATTTTATTTATTTATTTATTTATTTATATTTATTTATATTTATATGCTACTTTTATTTCTGTAAGTATTTTTCTATTTTTTAATTGAATTTATTGGGGTGACATTGGCTCACAAAACCATACTGGTTTCAAGTATACAACTCAACAAAACATCATCCTCACACTGCATCTGTGCCCATTGCCTCAAGCAAAATCTCTTTTCTGTCCCCATTTCTCCCATCTTTGTCCACATCCACAGAACTCCCACCCCTTTTCCCTCTGGGTACTACCACACTGTTGTATGTGTCCTTTTTTTGCTTAATTCCTTCACCTTCTTTTAGTTACAATTTTCTCTTAACTCTTTTGAAATTATAAAAGTATAATACCAGTTGAAAATTGAAAGGCTAAATTAATACAATATAGGTTTCCAGAAAATTCGGGGAGAGGGGCTGTTGGAGGATGGGGAGGTGGTAAATGAATCAGCCATTTTCTCAAAAGGTGAGTGGAATTAGAAACTTGATAGATCTAATAATTTATTGGCTCAGGGTTTGTCAGTTACGACAGCCCAGCAAATGAGATTAGAGCAGAGTTGTGCGGGGGAGGGAGCGAGTGACGCAGCTAGCTACTGACACCAAGAAAATATAGTGAAGAGACAGTTGCATTACCATATTGCGGCAGCATTGTTGTTGCTGTTTGTTTGGTTTGGTTTTTTAACTGGCTGCTGTTTGCGGAGGACTATCCACTGCGACACTCTGAATCTCTGGCGGGGTTTTGCAGGACAGTTCACATCGCCATCTCTCCATCCTCTGCACCCAAGCCCAGACCATCGCTGCCTCAGTTTAGTTCTCACGGCTCAGCACCGCCTTCATCCCGGCTGCAATCCCAACCATCGCTGTCACAGCCTGCCCGCTACCGCTAGTGCCACCTCTGCAACAGGCATCGCTGCTTCTGATATTCGGTGAGTCTTTCCCTGCGAAGGTCAGATCTCCTGATCTTGGAAGTAGCCGCATTAGACGTGTACGGTCCTTTGAAAAAATGGCCGAATCAGCCGACAGAAAGGAATTGTTAATATCCACTCAAGAAGAGGCTGATAAAGAGGTGATGGTGGAGGGGCCTGAGAAACAGCCAGAGCACGGTGAAAGTGCCGCAGCTGGGCCTGGAAATGATGGAGAGCGCGGTGAAGAAGCTGCCTCTAGTCTTGGGGAAGAAGCGGGGAAATGTGAAGATGCTGTTGGGTCTGGGGAAGACGGGGAAAAAGGTGAAATTAATGATGAGGACTCAGATCCAGACCATCCAAAAGGACTTATTGGTTATCTTTTAGACACAGACTTTGTTGAAAGCCTACCTATGAAAGTTAAGTACCGTGTGTTAGCCCTCAAAAAGCTTCAATCTAGAGTGGCAAATCTAGAATCCAAATTCTTGAGGGATTTTCATGACATTGAGAGAAAGTTTGCTGAAATGTATCAGCCCTTATTGGAAAAAAGACGTCAGATCATCAATGCAATCTATGAACCTACAAAAGAGGAATGTGAATATAAATCAGACTATGAGGACTATGATGATGATATGTATGATGAGGAAGAGATGTATGGTAATGAAGATGGTATGGTATATGAGTATATGGATGAGGGCTATGAGGAAGATTATTATGATTATGCTATTGTGGAGGATGACGACAACAATGCCGCAGCTGCTGCTGACATTGAGGCTGCTGGGGAGAACAATGAAGATCCTCAAGGAATTCCTGATTTTTGGCTGACTGTCTTAAAAAATGTTGACACACTCACTCCTTTGATTAAGAAATATGATGAGCCTATTCTGAAACTCCTGACAGATATTAAAGTGAAGTTTTCAGATCCTGGTGAGCCTCTCAGTTTCACACTGGAATTTCACTTCAAACCCAATGAATATTTCAAAAATGAGCTGTTGACGAAGACCTATGTGCTGAAGTCAAGATTGGCATATTATGACCCCCATCCCTATAGGGGAACTGCGATTGAATATTGCACAGGCTGTGAAATTGATTGGAATGAAGGAAAGAACGTCACTTTGAAAACCATCAAGAAGAAGCAGAGACATCGGATCTGGGGAACATTCCGAATTGTGACTGAAGATTTTCCCAATGATTCATTCTTCAATTTCTTTACTCCTTATGGAATCAGCTCAAATGGAAATGATGATTTTTTACTTGGTCATAATTTACGTACTTACATAATCCCAAGATCAGTTTTATTTTTCTCAGGTGATGTACTTGAACCTCAGCAGGAGGGAGTAATTAAGGAAGTTAATGATGCAATTTATGACAAAATTATTTATGATAGTTGGATGGCTGCAATTGAGGAGGTTACAACCTGTTGGAAAAATATTCAGGCGATGGTCGAAGACATTGACCGCTAAGGCAGATCAGCATGGCCCTGAAATTAACAGCCTTAGATCTAGTTACTCAAAATAAAAATAAAAAGTTAATTAGTCTGTGTACTGAATTTTTCTTAGAGTATTAAAGCAAATGTCAGAAGTTCAAATACTAATTCATTTGATCTTGCATTTTAATGATAGAATGCTTTCAAGTAATGTATACGGTGGTAAATATTTTAAGACATTAAAATAGTGTGATGTATTTTAATCCGTCTGAAGTCCTCTTGTCAAGTAGCTATCAATTTGTTGATGTGAATATTATCCAGACTGCTAAATGAGACCCAATTTTTTTTGCTGTTGTTGTTTGGGTAATTTTATTTTCTTGGTCCTTTAGCTAGTGAGTTTAATGTTGTCATGCTTGCTCCATTTTGCAATAAAAATGCAGTAGAATTTAAAACTTGAATGCTTAAGAAGAAGCCTGCATATGGTTAAGAATTTCAGGCCAAATCAAATTTATTGTTAATGACAGCTTGTTCATATGCTCTTATGTAATCATAATAAATAATGAAACTTAGTAATACTGAGGTTATTGTTTATCAGTGAAATGTTAATCACAGTACTTTTAAAAGTTTGACACATTGTACTCTGTAATTGTGTAAGCTGTAATTACAGTGTGTAATATTTTTCCTATACAACATTTAATCATTCATTGAAAGTGATCACTTTACCATTTTGAAAAGACTTCATGTTCTTTCACTGCAAAATAAAATGAATAAAAATTTCAGTGTATCATGTTTTAAAACTGATATTTTTTTCTGGTTATAAAAGTAATATGTTCATTGGTGAACATTTGGAAAATACAACAAATTATTAATTAAAATACTGGGTAGGAGGAAGAGATCAGCCAAAGAACTTGTATGCATAGATGCATAATCTATAGACACAGACAATAGGGTGGTGAAAGCCTGAGGTGGGAGGGAGCAGGGGGAGGCTAAAAGGGTTCAATGAGGAGGGACATATGTAATACTTTCAACAATAAAAAAGCCAAACCCCTGGGGGGAAAAAAGCCCTAAAATTCATATTCCCATTCCTTAAAGATAGGCACTGTTAATATTTGATTTATTTTTTACTATTATTTTCCCTGTGTACATATACATGCAAATTTACTAACACTATACTTAGATATGTAAAGACAGTATAATTTTTTTATTGTTTATAACTGATCTAGTATTTTTAAACATTTTTCTGTTGTTGTTAATCCTTACTAGAGGATGTTTTCCCATAGATTTTTTAGAGAGATGGAGGGAGGGAGGGAGGGAGGAAGGGAGGGAGGAAGGAGGGAGGGAGGGAGGAAGGGAGGGAGGAAGGGAGGGAGGGAGGGAGGGAGGGAGGGAGGGAGGGAGGGAGGGAGGGAGGGAGGGAGGAGGTGTAGGAGATGAGAGAGACATATTAATTGGCATTAGTTGCCTCAACCAAGGCCAGGGATTGAACCTACAACCCAGGTACCTGCCCTTGACCCTTCGGTGAGCTGGTTGACACTCTAGCTAATGAGCACACCAGTCAGGGCATAATTTATATAGTCTTAATCCTGAGACTACCTCTACTGCCCAGGTTTTTAAGAAAACAAAAATCTCAAATTTAACCAATTTAGTAAACTCATTGCTATTTAGTAGTTTAAATAGTCTGTATAAAACAACAAGGTTTTGTGTGTTAGTCAATATTTCAGATTTACCTACCCTTCCACAATGTTATCTGGATGTATAGAGGCTTATATTGCTTTATGGCTTGGGTGGGGAGCATACACTGAGGGGACAGTGAGATGTTATTGGTCAGAGAGCTGACTTCCTTTCAGAGCCTACTTTGCCTTCTTCAGGTATGGAAAATCAGAGTTTTGGCTTTCCCTTTTGGCAGACTCTATGAAAGTCACATATATCCCACCAGGACAACAGAGAGCGTGTGTGTGTGTGTGTGTGTGTGTGTGTGTGTGTGTGTGTGTTTATTAATTTCTTTTTCCTTTTTTATTTTTTCAATTACTGGTACAGTTGACATTCAATGTTATATTAGTTATTAGCTTCTGATGTAAAGCATAGTTATTACCGTATTTTTCGGACCATAAGACGCACTTTTCCCCCCCCAGAAGTGGGGGGAAAAAGTCCCTGCATCTTATGGTCCAAATATAGCCTACACATATACTTTAAAAAAAAAGTTTTTTTACTTGCCCGGCTCTGTGTGGTCTCTGTGTGCTTGCCTGGCTCTAAAATGGTTCTAAATGCTGCTGTTTACTTTACAGGGTTGATTACATGTGTCTATGACTGTGATGTTGGGTTTTAATGCACATAAAATATTTTAGGACACTATTTGTTTCAGAATCTTTTTTTCTTCATTTCCCTTCTCTAAAAACTGGTGCGTCTTATGGTCCGGAGCGTCTTATGGTCCGAAAAATACGGTAGTTTCTGGTGTAAATCATACTTTACAACATGTCCTCCCTCCTCCTACTCCCCAATATTTTCGGTACCCACCTGTCACCATACACAGCTATTACAATATTATTGACTATATTCCCTATCCTGTACTTTATTATTTTGTAACTACCCATCTGTACTTCTTAATAGTAACCAGTTACTATTTTGTAACTACCCATCCGTACTTCTTAATCCAACATGGAACTTTTTAATCTCTTCCATACCTTGTGAATGCTGAGAGTGGGTACGAAGTGACAACTTTGTCTTATTATGGCTGCCTATCCACACTGCATCCCAGGTGGTTGTAATGTGATCCCACAGAATTATAAAATGAAAGTGGAACAGAAACTCTTCTGCTCGTGAGTTAATTTTTCACTATTGAACATACTCATTCCTTCAGATTTTGGCTCAAAGAGGTAAGTTTTATAACTCTGCCTGTATTTCTCACTCTGTCTCATCTCTCTATAATCAGCTGAACAAGAAGGAATGGGATTTTTCCTTTTCTTGTCTGGACATAATATCATAAATTTCTCCCAGACACAATAGTAGATGCTCACTTGCTTGAGGTTGCAATAATTGACAATATATAGGGAAACAGAGACAAGTTAATATTATAGGGGAACCTAAATATGGAAATACTTCCCATGTTCACTTGACAAATATAGACCTTTTCACAGTTTTCATCACTGTTAATCTCAACCTCTATTAAATTCCTAACTCCCCCAAACCCTTCTCACACACAGAAAGATTAAGCCACCTTTAATTGTGTTCACTTTTAGTGTGTATTAAAAAGTCAGGAACTACTGTTACACAGAGGAGAATCAGGCATCTTGAAGTCCCTCTTGTCCCTTTCTCTTGCCTTCATGAGGTAGAGCAGTAAAACGGCTTCTAGGCTTTCTCTAAAGGCAGGCCAGTCCCCTTTCCTGTATCTCTCATGGCAATGGCCTCTGGCCTAAGACCATGAGAGACATACCCATAGTTGAAAAAGTTGAATGCATTCATTATTACTGTGAGGCTGAACACACATCACGGGGAACTATTGTATGTTATCAGTAAGTGGGTGTTAAAAAATCACATGCAGGATTTGGGCTTTGATTGTGTGATTTCATGGAGGGCTAACAAAATGGAGGTTTACTCTATATTGTAGGAAACATTTTAGAATAGCAGCTCAATAAATCTTTATAGGGAGGAGAGACTAGAACAAGAATAAGTCTGTAATCGGTGAAAAAGTGGTAGCCACTCATTTTAGCTAGAATGGCAAGGATTTGGCATTTTTTGGTTGGCACAGTGACTTTATTTTTGTCTATGCTTAGGCAAAATTAAGTAGCTTTACTTTGTCACATTTAATTGTAGTCCTAGAGTAACCTGGTCTGAGGCTGTTCTGTGAGATGGTTTATGTCCAATAAGATAATAACATGGCCGAGCTATGAATATCAGGCCAGCTTCCTGATGTCAGGGACTCATTTTTATATTTATTTCTCTTTCACCCCTTCTCAGCAAGGTAATTTGAGACTGTCAATTTTCCCATAGCTTGTGGTATGATGAAAGTACATTTGATTTGGGTTTAGACTCGTATAAAGGCCCTTTAGGCCTTGGAGTAGCCATTAGTTTCAGCTCACATACCAGAGAGTCCTGTACTAGGGTTTAGGACACAAGTATAACTAAAAATAGAATTTTACCTTAATTCTTTTTGCAGCTTTTCTTAAAAACATAATTCAAACAGTCCTGGAGGAGTTTTGAGGTCATTATTAGGCCTTGTTAGATTTTTGATATTTTTAAGGAATATACTAAATATGTAAATATAATAAAATTTCATTAGGGGGCATGCAATTTATAGTGCAAATTACAGTATTTAGTATTATATATCATATGGCATAGAGATCAGTCTTTGAAGCCAGTCTGCTTGTATTTAAATTCCAATTCTGTAACTAATTAGTTGGGTGACCTTGTGCAAGTCACTTTATGTGTCTGTTTTCATATCTTGAAAGACAGGGTAATTATTGTGAACTACCTCATAGATTATTATGAAAATCAAATTAAGTTATATAAAGTGCTTTTAAATATGTACAACACATAGGTGCTGATAGGTGTATCTATCTTTATTATTTTTATTATTAAGTTTAGATCTGTAAAATACTCAAAACTGTGTGGTATAAAAAGACTACAGTAAATTCTTATTAAATTATTAATAAAAACTGAAAGCTTATACTATCTATTTTAGTAACAGACTCCCACAGATTTTTGATAATATTTAGAAGGGCTAAGGGGCAAGTTTAGATGCAGTACTTAACTTACTGACAAGCCTGGTTAATAAAGAGGAAAATATACTAAGTATGGTGTTACTTCCTCACCTTCCCAATACATTCAATAGCTTTATAGCTGTGTACATCAAAGTCAACACTCATCACAGGCCATTTGTTCACTGGTCAATAAATGCATCATTAAATTAAAATATTTGGAAACCAGGAAAAAATAGAATACAGAAACTAAAAATCACATGAAATTATATATCAACCATAGGTATGTAGCAGATTTGATTTTTTACACACAGATATATGCAACATATAGGTGATTATTTTAAAGCAGATAATCTTTTAAAATATAGCCCAGCCAAGTGTTGGGAAGTGGTTGAGCATCAACCTATGAATCAGAAGGGCAAAGTTTAATTCCTGGTCAGGGCACATGCAAGAATTGTGGCTCAATCCCCAGTAAGGGGGACAAGGGTGCAGGAGGCACCTGATCAATTATTCTCTCTCATCATTAATGTTTTTATCTCTCTCTCCTGCTCCCTTCCTCTCTAAAATAAATAAAAATATATTTTAAAAAAGAAAAGAAATATAGTCCCAGCTGGGTGGCTCAGCTGGTTGGAGTGTCATCCCATACACCAAAAGGTGGCAATTTGACTCCCAGTCAGAGTACATACCCAGGTTGCAGGCTTGAAGATCACATGGGAGGCAACCAATTGATGTTTCTATCTCACATCGATGTTTCTCTCTCTCTCCCTCTCTCTCTCTAAATATCATTAGAAAACAAAGATGTGTAAAGAATATTTTTCTATGGAACACATTTCAGAAATATATTTTCTCTGAATTCTCTGCCAAATAATATAGTTTTTAAAAGTAAAAGACAAAAGAATGTCTAAAATTAGAAGATTCCTGCTTTTTAAAACCACACAAATGATCTATGTGTTGATCTATTCCCAAGATGACTAAAGACCATAAAAATTCTACTAGCCCCCATGCTGCATGTGCACATACTTTCACACTCCTACTGGTTCTGTGTGTGTGTGTGCCTGTTTGCATGTGCTCACTTATGAGATGGAAGGGGTGAAGTGGGATGGGAGTGCATGGGGTGTCACTAATCATAAAGGACACCAGTCCTTGTAAAACTCCTTGTGTGAGTGCTAAGCAGGGGGGTAGGATGAAAGGAAAAAGAGGTTAATCAGCAGAGGTCCCTAATGTAAGTCTCTTCTTTGGCCTGTGTGTGCATGTGCTCACACAAGCACACTTCATATATTATTTGAGCCTTCTGCCTTAGTCTATTTTATTTAATTTTCAATTTCACTCTCCTATGTTTTATTTTTTTAAATTTAATTTTCAGGTGTTTTTTTTTTTTTGTTTGTTTGTTTATTTGTTTAAAGTATTACACATAGTAGTACATATATCTCCCCCCCCCATTGACCTTCCCCAAGCCTCCCCTACCCTCTATGGATACCCTCATCCCACTCCTCAGTGTCTTGTGTCCATTGGTTGTGCTTACATGCATGCATACAAGTCCTTTGGTTGATCTCTTTCCACCCCCTCCCCAACACTCCCCAGCCTTTCCGCTGTAATTTGACAGTCTGTTCAGTGCTTTATTGCCTCTGTATCTATCTTTTTGTTCATCAGGTTATAATGTTTTTTATTTTACATAAATGAGTGAGATCATGTGGTATTTTTCTTTCATTGCCTGGGCTATTTCACTAACATAACGCTCTCCAGGTCCACCCATGCTGCTGCAAATGATAAGAATTCCTTCTTTTTTATGGCAGCGTAGTATTCCATTGTGTAGATGTACCATTGTTTTCTAATCCACTTATCTGCTGACAGGCACCTAGGCTGTTTCCAAATCTTAGCTATTGTAAATTGTGCTGCTATGAACATAGGGGTGCATATATCCTTTCTGATTGGTGTTTCTGATTTCTTGGGATATATTAGTATCCCTAGAAGTGGTATTGCTGGGTCAAAGGACACTTCCATTTATAATTTTTTGAGGAAACACCATACTGTTCTGCACCATGGCTGCACTAGTCTGCATTCCCACCAGCAGTGCACAAGGGTTTCTTTTTCTCCACATCCTCACCAGCACTTGTCGTTTGCTGATTTGTTGATGATAGTCATTCTGACAGGTGTGAGATTGTACCACATTGTCATTTTGATTTGCATCTCTCGGATAATTAGTGACTTTGGGCAGGTTTTCATATGTCTCTTGGCCTTCCTTCAGTCTTCTTTTAAAAAAAATATATATTTTATTGATTTTTTACAGAGAGAGGGATAGAGAGTTAGAAACATCAATGAGAGAGAAACATTGATCAGCTGCCTCTTGCGCACCTGCTACTGGGGATGTGACTGCAATCAAGGTACATGCCCTTGACCTAACTTATTTTATCTCTTTGTTATAGATCTATTCAGATTTCTGTTTCTCCTTGAGTCAGTTTGGGTAATTTGTATCTTTCTAGAAACTTGTCCATTTCATCTAAGTTATGTAATTTGCTAACAAATGGCTGCTGATGCTATCTACACTAATAAAAGAGAAAAATGCTAATTGATTGTATCTTTGCTATGCCCACAGTCAATCAGGACTGATATGCAAATTAAGCCAACAAAGATGGAGGGTAAATTTGCAGATGCAGGAGGGGCAGACTGTACCTGATGCTGCCAAGTGGGACCAGGCTGCCATTGGGGACCAGGCAGGCCAGGCAGGCAGTGCTTGACACCACCCTCCGGGTCCAGTCCACCATTGTGGATGGGCAGGCCGGTTGGGCAGCACTTGACGTCGTCTGCAGGGTCGAGCTGATAGGTAAGCAGATGGGGGCTGGGGGTAGCATCTGATGCTGCCTGCGGAGTCCAGGCCGCCATTGGTAACCGGAAAGGCCTGGTGGGCAGCACCTGATGCTACCCGTGGTGTCCAGGCCACCCTGGGGGACATGACAGGCCAGGCAGGCAAAGCCTGTTGTCTCCTGCTGGGTCAAGGCCGCGATAGGTAATCGGGCAGTAGGTCAGGGGCAGCATCAGATGCCACCCTCGTTGTCCAGGCTGGCAGGCTGGGAGGGCATCACCTGACGCCACCTGTAGTATCCAGTTTACTATGGGGTACCAGGCAGGCCATGCAGGCAGAGACTGATTTCACCTGCTGGGTCAAGGCCTCAATAGGTAACCAGGCAAGAGGAGAGGGGGCAGTGCCTAACACCGCCCACATGTCCAGGCAGCCATCAGCCAGAGTCTCTAGGATCACTGTCTGCTCCCCATGCCTCCTGTGGACACCAGTGGAGCAGACCGGGGTTGAACATTTTAGTGAAAATGGGATGCCTGTGCCCTGGTCCACTGCGCAGGTCTCTGGTGAGGAGAGGGCAGTGGGCAGTTAGCAGGCACCAGGGCTTGGAAGGGACTGGGAGCAACCTGCAGGTGCACTATCAGGAAGAGGTGCTGAAACATGATGAAGCAGAGGGCTGGCTGATGGAGGCACGCAAAGGTGCAGATGAGGTGGCTCTCGCTGGCATTGAGTTGGAAAGCACACCAACAGCCTGATGGACTAAATTGCCTTTCTGAAGATGCATGAAGAGGAGATCGCTGAGCTGCAGGCTCAGTCCTGTACTCTCAGGTCTCTGTGGAGATGGTCATGTTCTCCAAGTCCAACCTCTCTGCCATGCTCAAGGACATCCGTGCCCAGTACTGGCTGCCAAGAACATGCAGAATGCAGAAGAATGGTATAATGGCTGCTTTACATGCTGATCGAGAGCACTGCCAAGAAGGCCTATGGGATGCATGCCACCAAGGAGGAGGTGTCTGACAGCCTCCACCTGCTCAAGACCAAGACCCCAGAGATCAAAGCATTCTGGGGCACGAACTAAGCTCTGGGAAAGCAGCTGCGAGAGCTGGAGGATAAGCAGAACTCTGATGTTAGTGCTATGCAGGACACAATCAACAAATTAGAAAATGAGTTGAGAACTACAGAGAGTGAAATGGCACGATATTTAAAAGAATACCAGGACTGCCTCAATGTGGCTTTGAACATTGACATTGCAGCTTAAAGGAAACTCTTGGAAGGTGAGGAGACCCAGTTCAGTTTCACCAGTGTGGGAAGCATAGCCATCGGCTACTCCCAGAGTTCCCAGATCTTTGGTCCATCTGCCTACGGTGGTTTACAGACTAGCTCCTACTTGATGTCCAATCGCTCCTTCCCTTCTTAATACACCAGCCACGTCCAAGAGGAGCAGATCGAGGTGGAGGAGACCATTGAGGCTGCAAAAGCCCAGGAAGCCAAGGATGAACCCCTCTCTGAAGGAGAATCTGAAGAGGAGGAGGAGGAGGAGGAGGAGAAGGAAGTGGCTGATGAAGAGGAAGGAGAGGAAGAGGAAGAAGGTGCCAAGGAAGAATTTGAGGATGCAAAGTAGGAAGAGGAAGGAGATGAAGGTGAAGGAGAAGATGCTTAAGAAGCTGAGGATGAGAAGAAAGATGAAGGTGCTGGGTTGGAGCAAGCAACCAAGAAGAAAGATTGAGGCCCTCTTTCCTTAATTATTTTAGGAATAATCCTCCTGAAACCAGGTCAACCCCATCACCAACCAAGCAGTTGGGTTCCCGATACTATATGAATAAAGAAGTCAATATATATAACATTCTGAGGTGACTCAGGTTGGACATTAAATGTTATGCTATGACTTTTCTCCTTATGCAGAGTATCTGCTTGCTTGTAGAGTGGTTTCCTGGCTTGCTGCCAGCCTGTGCATGGTCCATGCTTATGAGTTCAGGATCTATAACAATGTGAATAATTCAGATATTTACAATAAAACACATGAATACATGAATTCACTGATGTTAATGTTAAACTTCGTGGAAAAAATAGTCCTTTGAGTGTTTGGTGGTTAGAAATTAAAGACCTCAAATCATGTGTGATAAACAGTAAATAAAGTTACACTGAATGACAACAACAACAACAAAAAAATACATTAAGGGCCAGGAACATTCAAAGAGCTGGGGAAGCATTCCCAAATCAGGAGGGGAAGTCACAGGCTGTATATTATTGCTATGAATACAGCATTTTCTACTTCTTACAAGATATACAATGTAATGTATTAGATGCCTTCCTATCGCATGAAGTATGTATTCTCATAGAGTAATACTGGTACATATGTTATAGTTATGGCAATATGTCATATCTTATCTATATTCATAAAAGAGTAATATGCTAATTAGACCATGAGACCTTCCAGAAGTTCTTCTAGACAAAGCCATGGTAGTGGGGCTGAGGCAGAAATGGTTAGGGGTGATCAGGCCAGGAGGGGAAGGCAGTTGGACATGATCAGGCCAGGTGGGGAGGGCAGTGATCAGGTGATCACTGATAAGGCGGTGGGGGGGGGGGTAGTTAGGGGCAATCAGACCAGCAGGCAGAATGGTTAGGGGTGATCAAGCAGGCAGGCAGGCGAGCGGTTAGGAGCCAACAGTCCCAGATTGTGAGGGGGTTGTCCAACTGCAAGTTTAGGCCCAATCCCACAGGGATCTCTGATTGGAGAGGATGCAGGCAGGGATGAGAGATACCTTCCTTCCCTCCCGTGCATGAATTTCGTGCACTGGGCCACTAGTTTAATTATATTGTACTTTGGTGTCGGTCTTTTGGGGTTCATTTTGCTTGAGGCTCTGTGAGCTTCTTGGATTTGTGTGGGTTTTTTCTTCCCTATACCAGGGAAGTTTTCTATCATTATTCCTTCAAACAGGTTTTCTATTCCTTGCTCAGTTTCCTCTCCTTCTGGCACCCCTATTATGAGGATGTTGTTTTGTTGCATGTTGTCCCAAAGTTCCCTTAGGCTCTCTTCCTGCTTTACATTTTTTTTTTCTAGAAGCTGCTCTACTTGGGTTTATTTTCCTACATTGTCTTCTAGCTCACTGATGTGGTCCTCTGCTTCTTCTAGTCTACTCTTGATGCTTTCTATTGAGTTCTTTACAGCAGCGATGTCATTTTTCATTTCTTCTTGGTTCTTCTTTATTTCCTCTTGGTTCTTACTCATATTGTCAAATTTATCTTCCATTCTTTTCAGCCACCTTATGACCATTTCTCTGAATTCTTTCTCTGACAGGTTGCTTGCCTCCATTTCCTTTATTTTCTGGTGATGCCTGCTTTCCTTTCATATGTGGGCTGTTTCTTTGTCTCCCCATGATCTCTCTTCTCTGCATGTCTGGTTATGTAATTCTCTCTATTGATTTAAAGGCATAAAATACCAGGTACAATGCACAAGAACTGCACACAGTATATTCATGATATTAATGGCATCAAATAAAGATGACCACCAGAGAAAGTCTAATTAGAGGATAGGAGAGAAAGGAGAAGAGAAAAAGAAAAAAAAGGAGTGTAAATATGAAATTGGGTAGAGGAAATAAAATAAGAGAGAAAAGAGAGAGAATAAGAAAGAAGAGGGGAAAAAACTATATATATATATATATATGAAGAAAACTCCAATAGAACAGCCACTAATCCCAACACATGCCAGCAACAAATACCTGGAGATGAATGCAATATACAAACAACAACAATATCAAGTGAGCGAGGGAAAACAGAAACAAAAAATGAACAACCCCCCCCAAAAAAAAACAACAAAAAAGAAAAAGCAAAACAATCTCACAAACAAGTATAAACAATCGATATAATCAACAATCAAGCAAACAACAACAAATGGACAGAAATAAAATAAAATAAAACAAAATAAAATTTTTTGATAGTGAAGAAAGAGAAGAGAGAGGTATGTATGGACTTGGATTGGAAATTAGATATATAAATATGGTGAAATTTTAACTGGGGGTAAAAAGAAGGAATAGGGAGAATCTAAAGCAGGAATATGGTAAGAGAAACAGGACAACAAAAGGGGAAAATGAGGAAGAGAGTGATGGCATAAAGGTAAAGTTGAGATAGAACAAAATGATACTAAAGGAAAGATGAAAATAGAATGTAGAACACTAATCCAAAAGTAAAATAAAGAGAAAATAATGTAACACTTAAAAAAAAGATAAAATAGTAGTAGTAATAATACTGATTGAAAATAAAAATGTAATAATTAAAAAGGTAAAATCAAGTGAGGAAAAAATTAGTTTCTTAAATAAAAGATGACAAAATAAATAAATAATGTGCAGTAGTGAAGGTCATTCACTTCCTCTACTGTTCTGTTTGGCACACCTGTTTTCTAGTCAGGACAGTATTGAAGTTCCTTTCGTTCCACTGCTCCTCAGTGTTGTAATCCAGTCCTGATTTTTAAGCAGGCAGTGTGTCTTTATTTTTTTATTTATGTTTACACAAA